CCAACAAAGAGTTGAATATCATTAAGCATGCTATGTTTATATACTTTACAGGCAAACGTACTAGGCTACCTACATATTATAGCTGCTCAGCCACAAAACCCACAGTGCAGAGTTTGTGCTGGTGTGAATGGAACTCTGCATTGGCAATTTTTTACAAACCATGCACCTTGGCACTGCTTTGTAGCTTTATGTGGGCTGCAAATGTAAGAAACATTTCATGAATTGACTTATTTCAACTGCCACAATATTTTACAGCTCCACTCTTGAATTCAGTGAATGACCCATGTTTGTAAAGGCAGCTAGCTATTCAAATTTATATACAGTGGCAATAGGATTGAAAAAGTTTTGATTAAGAGGTGTGGCCCAATACTTTTGCCTATACAGTGTGACATCATAAAAACATTAGTGCTAATGAGCATTTTGTACCACATAGTGTGCCTACCATCTTCTCCAGGCTCACTTTTACAAGTTCTGCTGACAGGTCTCTGGGGGCGCTGCTGAGGTTTGCTCCTTATTGGCTGCTTGGACAGAAGTTTGATGGGGATTCGTCTGCGAACATCCGGGCCTCCCAAACTCCCAGAGCCATCGCTTCCTTGAAGATCATTGTCTGTGGAAGAAAAAGAGTATATCAACTGAAACAGACTGCTATATGTTGTGCGCTGTACATTGGACAGTTACAGAGTTAGTGAGGGATACCTCATGTGGTGGACTCAAGAGCCACACCAAAATTTAACAGTTACACATATCATCTACAAAGAGTTGTTTTTAAAGCCTTTAGGACGTCACTGGATTGTGACAGTGCTTGTAACAGAGTCTGTTTACATTGGTTACATAGATTACAAATAATTTCATTCTGGAATTAGACTTTATGGTGAAACTCAGTGACTCATAGGTTAAACAGGATGCTTCGTTTTGGGTTCCACAGTAGATCATCTGCCTCCGTCTCATCCAATCCCCATCTTCTATCACACCAACCTCTGCCTGGCAGCTCCATCTTCTGTCCCAGCCTTGCCTTTGTCTCCAAACTGCTCAATATGAGACATCTAATGCTGTACGTGTTGGTCACTCCCAATGAAAATGTTAACATCTTTAGTGGACTACCATCTTGTAACGCTTCCTCTCACTCGCCCCATTATTATTCAGTAACAAATCATCTTTGACACTCATCTCTACCCTGCATGGACTCTTTGCCATTCTTGTGTATTGCCCGTTGCTTTGGATGGCTGACCCCAAATATACAACTCATCCACCTTCATTACGTATACTCATCTTCACCTTTCCACACGCTTCATTCACACACAACCTTTCCAGGCTTGATTACCTTCCACCTGCACCCACTCTCACAAGGTCGCCTACGACACAGAAACTTGTACCTGTCCCTTAGCAAAGCCACAACAAGCGAGGAGGAGCTCAGAGCCGCAGATATTTATAGTTGGCAATGGTTTATCACTTTAGTGACACTGCAGTAATATAAACAATTGGAAATTAGATTAACAACGTTAGCGTTTCGCCCTTAATACTATCAGCAAAAAAGGGCTCGTGTATGTGGGTTAACAGTCAAGAGACTCGTTATAAGATATAGTTTCTTTATACAGCTAAGTGGTTAGCATATGCTAACAATCAAGCCCCATTCGCGCCCCAACTAAATCGCAGCTAGCCGTAAACCCACCAACATGTGAGAATATATCGTTTGCAGTTGAGTTTAATAATTGCATAAACTCTGGTGGAACATTTCGTGTAATCCTCCAGACCAACTTAGGGCGTAACGTTAACTTTTGGCGAGAAGTACTCAAGCCTTTTTTGGCTAGCCCGCACCATTCAAGCTTTAATGTTCCCCTGGGAGATTACGGGTTAGCTTAGCAAAACCACTTTCCACGAGGGGGCTTTGTAGTCACGTTAGCTCTTAGAGCTGGTATGAAAACGGCTACGCAGGTTAAAAAATATATAGCATGAATAACAAGTTTTGCTAACGTCTCGGCCCTACTTTGCATTTTGCTTACCGCTTTGGTCCATGATCCAACGAGTGATCGCAATGCATTGTGGGATACGAGAAACTGACGAGGAGAGGAGGTGAAGTGAAAGGGAAGGAATGAGGATAGGAAAGAAGGAAGCGAAAGAAGGACGACGCAAACAGGGTTAAAAACTTAAGAGCTAAAAAGAAACTGTAGTTAGTTCACGTTAAAACCAACAAAGAAAAACAGCCGCGCGTTATGCCCGTGTACAGTTGGCCTAAATGGCTGGGTAACAATACTGAAAGTAAAGACAGGGCGTCGTTGTGATATTTAACAGAAACGATCGTCCATTTGTTTTCTGTATCGACGCAGTTCTGGAACTGGAAACTGGAAAATCTGAAGGCTTGGACTTTCTATCATATTTCATAAACATGTTGCTGTAAAGTTCAGGTTATTATTTATCCACTGTTTACATTGTTTTAGCAGAAAAAAAGCTAATTGTATCCTTAATAAAAAAATATCTGCTGCCATAGTTTAAACACTTGTTAGATCATCCAACATGTGCTATCCATGCATATTTACTTAGAATGAAGCTTGTTTCACAGCTGAACTGATTCACATTGTTTCATAGAGTTTCTAATACATACTTTGTCTAAAATGAATGTCATCAAACACAGAAAGAAGGTTGCATTTTGACTTTCATTGTAAACTGCTGCACACTCAGGCAAAAGTCCTGAGTCTGCCCATATGGGTTTTATTTTGCTAGTAAGTAAAATAAAAGTAAGTAAAATTGTATTTGTATAGCACCTTTCAAGATAAAATCACAAAGTGTTTCACAGAAGCTAGAACATAAAACAACATCAACCAAAGGCAAGTTTAAAAAGAAGGCTTTTAACTGTTTTTTAAAAGAACTGACAGAGTCTACAGATCTGAGTGGAAGAGAGTCCCAGAGTCTGGGAGCCACAGAAACAAAAGCTCTGTCACCTTTTGTTTTTAATCTAGTGTGCTGGACAACCAGCAAGCCCTCAGGGACCTGCTGGGAATATCAGGATGAGGAAGATCACTGCTGTAAATTGGAGCCAGTCCATGCAGTCCTGAGGGTCAGGATTATATGGGGCAAACTGGAAGCCTTGGTCAACAGCCTTGCAGCAGCATTTTGAACACCCTGCACACGTTCCAAGGAGGCATGAATCTGCTTAACATGAATATCCAAGGACAGAGCTGTAACACCAATCTTCCTAATAGAAGATTAAACAAAAGCGAGCGGGCCTAAATGTTTTAATACCAAAGGTACAAATTTATCAGGAGCAAAGACAAGGACTTCAGATTTCTCAGCATTAAGTTGAAGATAATCTTCTGCATTCCAACCTCTGATAGAATCTAAGCATCTCTGCAAGATTAGAAGTTTAGAAACATCATGTGGCTTAAAGCAGATATATAGCTGAAAATCATCTGCATAGCAATGATACGAAATGTCCTTAAAAGTGCTGAGAAGTTCCTGAAGAGGGAGTAAATATAACAAAAACAGTACAGGTCCCAGGACAGAACCTGTGGCACACCAAGAGGGGTGAGAGAGGACCTGAGCTTGGAGGAAGCCACAGAGAAGGATCACATAGATTTAAACCACTCCAAGGCCGTTCCTGATATACCCACCCAGTGTTTTAGTCTATCTAACAGAATATGATGGTCGACAGTATCGAAGGCAGAGGTCGGGTGCACTCAGCATCATAATTCATCAGTATATCACTGGACACTCTAAGAAGTGCAGTTTCAGTGGAATGAGCTCTACGTAAACCAGATTGGAAATGATCAAGATAAGATAAGATAAGATAACCTTTATTAGTCCCACACGTGGGAAATTTGTTTTGTCACAGCAGGAAGTGGACAGTGCAAAAGTTATGACGCAAAAATTAGAATACAATAAGAATAAATACAGTACACAGCTCAGCTGTACAGGATAGAATAAAATAATATACTATATACAGTAGAATAAAATAGAATAAAAATATACAATAAGATAAAAATAGAATACGAATCAAGAATGTTATGTTGACCAAGAACCGCTGTGAGTTGCTTGGCCACAACATTCTCTAAAATCTTGGCAATAAATGGTAATTTTGAGATAGGTCCATAGTTGATAAACAGAGAAGCATCAAGTTCGGGGCTTTTAACAGCACTTTTACAAAAAACAGGCACCTGACCAGAAAGCAAAGAGGCATTGATGATTGTAAGCACACTAGGACCAGTGGACTGAAAGACCTTTCTAAACAAAGGTCCAGATAAAACATCAAGAGGGCAGGAGGACGGGTTCATTGAATCAACTAATTTGACCAGCTCAGGTAAGGACACTCAGATAAAGTCAATGGTTAAGCCTAAAGAAAAAACGAGGTGTGTGTCCTTTGGCATGTGTGGGGCCAGACACATGCTGTGTAAAATGAAAGTAGTAGAGAGTACAGATTGTACAATTCTGAAAACCTTGCAAGTCAGTATCAGGTATGAGCACCTTCTTCAGCACGTTGCTCTTTTAAGCAGTTTTCTTGTCCAGGAAGATCATGGATCTTATTTTATTTCAGACATAATTAGTCCACGTCATTAAAATAAAGGAAAAGCACTCTTCTGTGAATGTTGGCCACTTTTTGTTCCATTCTCTAACAAGATAGTCTCAGGCTGCTTCGATAATGTTGATTTCTTGGGAGGTAAATCTAACAGTGCCATTGTGCATGTCTCAGGTGCACTGGAAGCAAAACGTAAATAAACGAAGTGAGACTCCGAACTGCAGCCATGGTACACTACAAAGCAGAAAACCCGACTGGTGTCAAGTCTTTATTGTGCATTTTCCACCGATTGTTTTAAAATTACAGAATGATCTTGCCTGTAAATGTTTATTAGTTAAAATGCAATTAAATATAAACGGCACTCTTCAGACAGCAGGTTTATAGCTGCAGGTTTTGAAATAATATGGATCTCATGTGAAAACGAGGACAGTTTGATGTGTGATAGCAGCGTTGCATCACTCAGCGCTTTAAGATGTTTTGGAGAGCTCGGTGCACGGTCTCAAGTCGAGGCACGTCCCCGACGCGCGTGCCCGCAACCATGTCGCCATTTTGATTCGAAAAATATGACTGAGTTTTTCCTGCTTTGCGTGCTAAACTTAGCCCCGCGTTTGAATTACTTTGTGTGCGAGTACGTATCATACACTTTGCATTTGAAATAACTCGGATTGTTATTAACACCACGTAGTCATTCACGCGGGGGAACAGCTTATTTTGTAGTCTTCTTAGCCACATTTGACTATCGTTAGCTAAGTTGAGCTAGCTAACGGCGGTCTGTGCTGTCGCAGACTGACCCCTTCTTCAAAACAAATCACTATTCGCTCACAGGCTAACGTATGTTAGCTCATACGGCTAGCTAACAGTAGCTGGACAGCTAGTGATTTAGTAGCTGGCTGCTTAACGAAAAACAGCAACAACTCGGATCACACGGAATTACTCGCAGCGGACATTCAACCAAAGGTACGTTTTAACCGGGAATTCTTATCGTGAGTTTGAGCGTAGAGCTAATCTTAACCCTGCTGCTGCAGCAGCGACAAAGTTAAACCCAAGTTAGAGAGCTATTTAAGTTGGCCGCTCAGTACACGTTAACCGTTGGTAGCTAATTAGCTTATGTGCTAATCAGAGAAAAGGAGGAACTAACCATAGCTGAGTTGTTCCCCAACTTTAGAAGTTGGTGTCTAAATATCGTGAATTAACACTGATCGAGATACCAGTGCTGGTCTATCGGCTAACTTCGCACAAGGACTCAGTAATGGCTGTTGGATTACTTAATCGATGTTAATGTAACATAGTCGTTAACTGTTAATGTTTAGTCCCGTCGACGTTAACGGAACTCATTTTCTGACCGATACGTCTCTTTAATAACAATAATAATGGATTGCATTTATATAGCGCTTTTCAAGGCACCCAAAGCGCTTTACAATGCCACTATTCATTCACTCTCACATTCATACACTGGTGGAGGCAGCTACGGTTGTAGCCACAGATGCCCTGGGGCAGACTGACAGAAGCGAGGCTGCCATATCGCGCCATCGGCCCCTCTGGCCAACACCAGTAGGCAAGTAGGGTAAAGTGTCTTGCCCAAGGACACAACGACCAGGACAGAGAGCCCTGGGATCGAACCGGCGACCTTCCGGTTACAGATGCGATTCCCAACCCCCTGAGCCACGGTCGCCCGTAAATGCTGCATGTGTTTTTTATAGCTCGGTAACTAAAGAGCCAACGTTACTTTAGGGGTGTTCGGAGTCGGCTGAGGCCAGCAACGCAGACTTACTGAGCTGGAAGTAACTACACACTCTGTAGGTGAAGTGGTAGTTTTATCTTTCATGTTGGAGTTACTGGTGACTTCAGCAGTGTATGTGCTGTAGCATCGATCCCATGTTAGTCTGGTATCATTTGGGCATTTGTGCCCTCCTCTGGAGTTGAAGTAAACAGAAATCTGAGCCCCCACCGTCAGTCAGTTGATGTGCATTTCATGCCAGTGCTGTGGAAGCTCAGCTTACATGTCTTCAGTTACACACCAGTGTCTCTTATTGTCAAACAATCTTAAGAAATCACTTCAGTTACAACAGTTTATAAAGTGTGACCCGTTACCAAATCCGCATCATGTGATCAAAGTCTGAAGCCATATCATGGTTGATGGCTGACAAAGGTACTCCATAATGTTAACTTAAAATATTTTGGGACCATCGCCTGTCTTAGATATGTCTGGTCAGCTTAAAACATTTTTTACAGCTTCAGTGCTTTAAAATGCAATTAAGCAGCAAACTGCAAAAACTGCAGCTTCTGTTCGCCCTCTGAAGTGTGCGGATTGGTTAATCATTTGGTAGCTGGTGTCACAAGGTTTCTAGTACAACCCAGTGAACACTGGTTCGCTATCAGCTGGGCTGTTATTTACATTCACAGTGAGTAAAAGGAGAGTTCATGGCAACAGACAGGTGGGATTCCCTTTCGCTTGATTGTACAGCTTTTTTTAACTCGCCTAATTACAGGCTGCCGTTGGCTCGCATTATCCACATGTGTGCCCTTTGTGTGCCATTGTTCCTTTTTTTCCATCATCTCTTACATGTGCCAGAAGACTGTTTTTGTTGAGGTTGCCTCTGGTTTGTTCTATTTTGGATGTAAAGTCAAGCATTTGCTTTCCTGCTCGGTGTCCACAGGGAGCATTCAGCGGGTTATTATTGCGCTTGTGTACTCTGTAAATGCATGCCAGATGGACGCTGCTGCTGCATGTGCAAAGATCCTCCTCAGGAAAATGGGAAAAGAAAAAAGGGGAAGCACTTTGATTTCCTCCTGTAGTTTTACTTCCATGGTCAACAGTTAGATCTGTTGCACTGCCCGCTGAGACACTTTGGCTTTGACAAAGTCAGCAGATGTAGCTGTTTCGTGTCTCTGCTGGTGTGTTAGGTTGTCTAGATTAGCTACCACAGTAACTGCATGGGGGAAAAACAAAACAAACAGCCTGGTCACAAAAGCATTTTGTACTTTATTATTACTTTTCTATTTTTTAACGGATTCTAACAATATGTTACATTGAGCTGTTACACCAGAGAAGAGGGGGAAGTTGACCTAAGCAGTCAATGTGTAGAGTAATGAGCTTGCACATAGCATTTGTACAAGTTGTTACTCTGTCATATATAGAAAGTCAAAGTGGTGGATTGCCAGATAGCCATGGAGAAGTCTTCAAATAACGAGGTCAACTGTGGTACAAGTAGAGCTGGGCGAGATGGAAAATAATCTTATAACAATATCTCACGCTGTTCCCTGTCAGTTGGTATTGATATAAATCACTATTTATGCTCAACGTAAAGCTTAAAGCCTTCGTTTTACTCTTGGTGATAATATAGGATTCATTTTAGTTTAAATATTAGTCATTTTCTCTCAGAAGTTGAACGTAATAACAACTTTATTTTAGCTAACATAAGTATCTAATAAACTTAATTGTAATTCTCACTGGTCAAAAGCAAAAGAGATAACTCACTTCTTCAGTTCAAATAAATAATGTCTCGTGTTTATATTGAGAAAAAGTCAGTTTTGAGTGAAAAAACACTTTCAGGAAGCTCCAACGTGAAGAAAGGCTAACTTTGTAGCTGCTGCCAGACGCCACAATTTGTTTTACGCAGTCAAAATAAAATATGCAGATGAACCGTTAAATTAGTCTGATATGATGTTTAATTCAGGCAGCTTGTTACCAACCGCCCTGCTTTATATGGCAGTGATACCTGTAACAAGAAGGAGTGAGTATAAAGGGGGACAAGGGGTGTACTAGACCATAGTGAAACATATTGTATTACATATATATTTGTTTTTTTCTAAGACAGTAAAAGTACACATGGGTGACTGACTTGGGTCTTTTAGGCAGGACACTGAAGTTAATATGTTCTATGATGTGTTAACATCAGTCATTAACATTTTTACCGCTCAGTTGTATTTTATTTATATAGAGCCAACAACAGTTGCTCAAGCTGCGAAAACGCCATCAGAACGTCTGTTTTTTAGAGCAGGAAATGTTGCATCCAACGTCGGGGCAAACCTCAGAGAATCCTGATATTCTTGCTTTTCTTCATTGCATGTGTTTCTTTCACACATGCACACTCATTCACTAGCCCACTTACACAAAATGCCCTCCAAGAAGGGTAGAGGCAGTTTTACTTCGTGCCTTAGGTTCCAGTAGTGTATGTGACTTATTTACTGTACTTTTGATTATTTATTCTTTAAAAAGAATAAGTTTTTTATGGCAGGTGCGTGCAGTGCGAGCGCTTACCTGCCTGCGCAGACGTTGTGTGCAGTCAGAATATTAAAAACTTTGGTTTCCATTATAAAAAACTACAGTGGGGTTTTTTGTCTTTTGAACACGATACATGATGTAAATTATTATTATGTATTATTTCTCATTAATAAGACAAAAGTATTTCTTATCCAATTAATGGATGTAATAAGCAACAGGTTACCTGATTACTAAAAGAATTGACTCCTGGTACCTTTTGTCAGTTAATAATCAACCTTCATGTTGTGCAGGGTATGGTGAGCCTCTCAGCGACCCGTCTCCTAAAGAGGCCCGCGTTTTAAAAGGAGACCCATGCTGATAAATGCCAGGCCTCGCCACACTCTCTGTCGTCTGCACAAACACAAATGCCTGCCTGCCCGTGGGGGAGGTCTGATTAAAGATATCCACATTTCATCCACTGGTATGTGTGAACACTTTACTGTCAGGCATTTGTGTCTTTTTCTAGTTACACTATGACTGTGTTTACTTGGACCAATGTGCGTTTAAATCATGACAACGTTTTCTGTCTTAACTGATATCGCCTCCATGTTACGTTAGAGCGTCAGTTACGGTCCAGGTTTGAACTTCTGCAGCCTGATGTCTCGCAGCTTAGCACGAACACTGACAAGACCATATGTTTCTGTCTCATAAACCTATGAAAAATTCAGTGCAGGCTGTATGATGTGCTCTACATTAATGCAACATTGTGACTACAGTTGGCCCGTGAGAGAATGCTGTTTACAGGACAGATTAAAGTTAATCCCAGAATATTACCGTTGCTGTGAACATTGTCTTTGGTATAAAAGGATAGAAGTACTAGTGCTGTACTAATCCTCTTGTTTCTTTACGTCAGCTTGGAGCCCCTGCTTCCTCATCCCAACCTTTCACTCTTAACTGTCCTACTCCTCTCTCCTCGCTCTGTCGGCCCAGGGCTGTGTCCCCCCTCCCAGCGGCCACCATGTTTTGGAAGTTTGACCTGCACACCACCTCCCACATTGACCAGCTGCTGGACAGGGAGGACGTGACGCTGAGAGAGCTGATGGAGGAGGATGACGTCCTGCAGGAGTGCAAGGCCCAAAACCGTCGGCTGCTCCTCTTCCTTTCCCAGGACCACTGCATGCAGGAGCTGGTCAGCCTCATCACCACAGAGCCACCTGCTGATCTGGAGGAGCGAAGCCGCTTTAAGTGAGAGCCCACACTGACTCTTAGAGACTGCTGGGAGAGTGGAGACATTACTTGAGAGTTAGATTAGAAGACTGGGAGCAAGACGAACACAAAGTGGAACATGCACCTATTTCCAAAGACAGATGTTGAGCCTGAGTTGAATTGATTTGCCTTGATGTCAATTAGATACAAGCACCACAGTTAACTCGCTTGTTCAGTTAATAATTCAGCTCATGGGTCACATAATAAAGAAATCTAACTCTGTCCACATACACAGGATTTATTTAGGATTTATGAACTTTACCAGGAAAATGCTGTTGTTGTTTGATATGCACGCGCTGGTATTTTTAGATTAAATGCTGAAGTTTATATGCACTGTTGTTTGAAAGGAACGCAGCAAAAAGAAACTTCCAGCTTTTTGCATATATCCACGTTTTGCTGCTGTGATTAAATCCTCACACACGTTGAACCTGTAACCCCATCACCTTCATTTTCCTTCACTCATACTTGCAGTGATACTTTGAAATCTTTAGTTTGACACAGAGATCTGATCTTAACGTCAGTCTGTTGTGTTTTTCCCTCTGCAAGGTTTCCCAATGTTGCTTGTGAGCTTCTGACCTCAGATGTTTCCATTATAAACGATAAGCTGGGTGGAGACGAGTCTCTCCTCGAGATGCTCTACCACTTCCTGGAACAGGACCCACCTCTCAATCCTCTACTAGCCAGCTTCTTCAGCAAAACCATCGGCAATCTCATTGCCAGGAAAACCGAACAGGTAACTAGTAAACAAGATATGAATTCCTCTCAGATTAAGCGAATCATTTAGGAACATTTCCACACACCAAAGTTTCAGAGAGTAATAGCAACTGGAGCAGGGCGTTTTGTGGGGTCTGCTGAGTTTCCTGGGACTCAATAGAAATGCTCGTCCCCACTTTGGAAAGTCAGTCTGTTCCTCCAAAGGTTCCTAGTCCCGGAGGAAGAGTCCAGTGAAAACATGCCTAGAGAGCATAAAAACCCTCAAATGTGAAAATCTAAGATTGACATTAGCTGTCTGTGAAAATCCACAGTCTTTCACATTGTGTCATTTTCCAGGTTATTACCTTTTTAAAGAAAAAAGAAGGCTTTATTGGTCTGGTGCTGAAACACATTGACGCTTCTGCCATGATGGACCTGCTGCTTCGCCTCATCAGTTGTGTGGAGCCTGCCCCTTTGAGACAGGATGTTCTGCATGTAAGCGACCGAAATGGCTCGTATGTCCTGTGAGTAAGCTCGAACCTGGCGCATGCTTTTAAGTGATCTGTTTCTTTTGAATCCTAGTGGTTAAACGAGGAAACGTTGGTTCAGAGACTCACAGAGCTCATCCATGCTGGCAAAGATGAGGAGGTGAGTGGGTGCAGCGCTCGCTGTGCTGGCCGAGTGTTGTCTCGATGTTTCCTAATCATTTTTATTGATGGGTTCGAATAATTTAATTGGATTATTTATTTTTCAGAGACAATCAAATGCGTCCCAAACGCTGTGTGACATCATCCGCCTTAGCCGAGATCAGGCCAGTCAGATGCAGGAGAACGTAGAAGCCGACCCACTATTGGCTGTGCTAGAATCGTAAGTCTGCGGAGCGCTTGTATGTTTGTAGTAACGTACAACTCTCTGTAGGAACTGTGGGGATAGCTTTCCCACATCACTCATGCCTGCTCTTCCTGCTCTGTCCACACCACACACCAGCGTCATTGTTGACTGTTGTTTGCTTAGTTCTTGACCTGAAATGGAGAGGCATTAAAAACCTCAGGTTGTAGCATGTGTACACACAGACCTGCTGGCAGAGCCTGTTTGACTGCAGCTTTGATTTTGTGTGGGTGTGTGTGAGGTTGACTTTGTGCCTTTTGAAAATGCTTCCTTTTGCATCAGGAGCTAAAACATTGTTGCTAGCTGGCCTGTTAATGGTGCATAAATGTGTTCCAGGCAGGAGAGCGTGGCGGGGCTTCTCAAGAACATGTTTGAGGGGGAGAGGAGCGAGGCCTCCATCGTTAATGGAACTCAAGTGCTACTTACCTTACTGGAGACCAGGAGGTCTGGGTGAGTCCCTCCAGTTCTTAATCATTCAGGATGTAAATTGTGCTAATTTTGGTGTCTTCCTGACTCTTAAGTGACGTCATGTAGTAAATTTGTATTTTACTCGCCTCTCAGTCGAGACAGTAGAAAAGACCCGTCACAGTCACTGAGCTGATATGCTGATTGTCTCTGCTTGTGTCTGTCAGGTTGGAAGGGCTGATGGATCTGTATTCTCAGGGTTATGAAAGGTCTTACACTGTCAACAGCAGTATTTTAAATGCCATTGAGCCCCATTTAAAGGACTTCCAGCAGCTTCTTCAGGATCCCCCCAAGGTAAAGACTGCAGTGTAGTCAGAGTGTAAGCATGAGCATGGTGCAGCCTTTGAACACTGGAGTCACTCAGCTGCATGTTTGTAATGGTACTGCACTTTTCAGCGCTGGTCTTATTTTCCAGTATTGTACAGCTGACGCTGCTGTTAAATGTCATGTTATAGTTTTGACTTGATTTGGGGCAGGGATAGCTCAGTAGGTAGAGTGGTTGCCCCGTGATCGGAAGGTCGGGGGTTCGAATCTACCGAACGGCTACCCCCTGAGCGAGGTACCGTCCCTACACACTGCTCCCCGGTGCGCCTGCTTAGTGGCTGCCCACTGCTTCACTGAGTGAATGGGTCAAATGCAGAGAGAGTAATTTCCCCACGGGGATCAATAAAGTATACATCATTATTATTATTATTATTATTATTATTATTAAAAAACAATGTCCATATGCTACTTTCACTCTTTCCTCAGAAAAGTGCAATATTGACGACCTTTGGCCTTCTAGATCAGCCACTGGGGAATGCTCGCCTTCATGTGGCCCGGCTGGTGGCTGCCCTGCTCCAGACCAATGCACCCAATATCTGCCAGGAGCTCTGTAACCTGGCCACCATGGACCTGCTACTGGTAAGGCTAACCTTTCTAGAAGATGCCGTTTGTATATTGTACAGTGTTTTGGGAAATTGCATGGGATTTGTACAACGTTAGTCAAAAGGTTGGGAAGCACTCTTTACCCATCTGTGAAAGCAGGTTCAAATAACCCTGCCCTGCTGTACTGGTTCACGGTCACTGGTAAGGCTCCAATATTACCAGCACGTGTTAAAGGGCACAGAATCAGCTGTCCATGTTTTTTCTCAGTAACTTGCTAAAATGTTTAAAATGAAATGCACGTACTGGAAATCCCGTGTCTGCTTCCTGTAGGATCTGTTCTTCAAATACTCCTGGAATAACTTTTTGCACTTCCAAGTGGAGCTGTGTGTGGCCTCTATCCTGAACCATCCTTCCTCAGAGGAGCGGCCAGGCCTAGGCCTGCAGAACCACGAAGAGAGCGCTACAGCGTCCAGCCCTCAGGCGCAAGAGGAGGACGCGACAACGGATGGGACGAGCGACCCACAGACCTGCATCCACGGTGCGCTCGTGGCACATGTAAGTGGTTACGCACGTCCCGCCCTCATCACACGACACTGAAACATTTCCACAGAATCACAGCGCTCACATGTTGCTGTCTAAACTCTTAGCTCTTCCAGAAGTGTCGACTGCTTCAAAGGATCCTTGATGCCTGGGAGGAGAACGATAGAATACAGTAAGTCTTCCTTCTGTAGGTTCCTGTGTTTTTTTTCTTACAATCAGTGCTTTGAGTTGAAGGTAATAACTGTGTCTGTGACTGTCAGGGCTGATGGTGGTACCAGGAGAGGCAACATGGGTCACCTGACTAGAATAGCCAACATGGTGGTCCAGAACCTGGAGAAAGGACCAGTACAGACCCAGATCTCTGACCTCATCAGAGGTATTTATACAGTTGTCCAGTGTGACTATTAAATCTTCCATTTTAACTGAAAATCACTGACCAGTGTTTGCTTTTGCAGAGCTGCCAGAAGACTGCAGAGGTCGCTGGGAGAGCTTTGTGGACGAGACCCTGAGAGAAACTAACAGGAGGAATACCGTAGAACTGGTGAGTCCCTCCCACCAAATACCTGGCAGGTACAGCACTGTGCAGAAGTCTGAGGCAGGTGAGAAAATGCTGTAAACAAGGGATGCTTTCAAAACTGGGAGTGTTAACCATTTATTCTCATCAGTCAACAACAAGCAGTGAGTGAACAAAAGAGAAATCTAAATCACATCAACGTTTGGTGTGAGTAGGGATGGGTATCGTTTAGGTTTTATCCGATACCAGTACCAAACTGGTGCTTAAACGGTGCTCGAACCAGTGCTTAAAGAA